CAAAGGTGGTAAGTATGAAAAATGGTCAAGTCAATTTTTTCAGTGCCGTTGTAAAAAACCTCTGGTTCCGGTGACTGGGCTGTATTGGATCCTGCCATGTTATCCTGGGACATGTGTATTTGCAGTCGTGCTCGGTGAACAGCCAGGAGCTCTTCCCACAAGACAGGAAGGATCAGTAGAGACACATTTTGTGCATGAGTCTTTAGGAAGCCTTTTGCCTAAACTTCCGAAATTACTATTAGGGTAGTCACTTTTACTAATCGGTAGAAACTAACATCGCATTGACAAAAGGTGAAGCGTAACTATTTGTAATAGTTTCTCCTTTCGAAACACGATCACACATTTTTTTTTAAATTTAATTTGCATCTCTTCCATAATTGACCTTACACATGGTAGAAGAATACACAAATGAGAAAAAAGCAGGCAGGATATTTGTGACTCACAATTAATCCTCACTTCTGGAGGGAGAGATGTCACACTTGTTTAGAAGTTGTTTATTATTACCGTGCACCCCCTGGTGGATTAGGTGAAAATTACAAAAGCAGGCATTACTCAGCCCAAACCATCTCAATGAGGAAGATAGCAATGCTAGTCTTCTAGAACTATATCCGAATGGCAGCAGAATTATAAGTTTTGTGAAGCCATATTAACTTGGGGGAAGCAGATCATTCCTTCTTAACTGTCTCTGTTACCCTAGCCATTTTCTGGTATAGCAATATCATGTTATTCATGTCACTAGGGCTTAATCATAGACAACCCCTATCATAGACAGCCACCCATCAAGCTGGATTGATCTTAAAAGAGATCAGGAGGATCCTAACTGGTTAGCACTTGAATGGGAACCAACTATCTGGTCTCTTGACAAGGAAACTATATGTCTACATGTCTACATAACAGTCCAAGTAATCTTCCTTTAGCTAAGGATGTCACTCATACCAACAGAACAACAGAACAACAGAGTTAGAAGGGATCTTACAGGTCTTCTAGACCAGCACCCTGCTTAAACAGGTGACCCTAGATCAGGGGTGTCAAACTGCCAGCCTGTGGGCTGGATGCGTCATGAGGAAACCACGCACACCCCATTGCCGGCCACAGGGAAAGAGCTCTGATACATCACACGACGTCACGTGACGTCGCGAGTTGGACATGTCTGCCCTAGACCATTTCAGATAATTGGCTGTCCAATCTTCTTAAAAACCTCCCATGATGGAGCACCCACAACTTCTGGAAGCAAGCCATTCCACAGATTAATTATTCTCACTGCCAGGAGTTCTCTCTGATCCTTCTAGCTGGAGATGAGGAATTGAACCTTACAAATTTTCTGCATGTGAAGGAAGACAGCTTTCTAATCAGTTTTTTTCAGAGGTTTGAGAGTTAGACATCAAGTTCCTCATCCATCGGACAATGCATCCATAGAAATAGCTGCTGTGTAGTTCCAGGGAGAAGCAACTGGTGCTTCTCTGGACCATTTCAGGAGAGATCCTCTGATATGGGGGACTTGTCATAATGACTTACAAGGTTTGTCTAGCAGTGTGCGGGTGAGCATTATCGTGAACCAACACCACTCCGGAAGTGGTGCCATAGAAAATCCCGCCAAGTGTGAAGATGCCAAAGGAGTACGGCTAGTGAAGTTCATGGAACGTGGTTTGACCATCAATTCAGAAGTCTACTGTGAAATATTACAAAACTCAGATGAGCCATCCATAACAAGCATCAGAGCATGCTAACTTCTGGTGTGATGATGGTTCACGATAATGCTCGCCCGCACACCGCTAGACGCACCCAAGAACCTTTGAAGCAGTTCCATTGGGATATTTTTGATCACCATCCATAGCCCAGATTTGGCACTGACCGATGACTACTAAGGAATTTCAAGATGTTGTAAGATATTATGACAAGTGCCTCAATTTGAATGGTGATTATGTCAAAGAGTAATGTAATGTTTTAGTTTTCTAATGCGTCTAATAAAAGTTCTGTATCTGCGAGTGTCTGTCATAAACGGAGGTTTATTTCCGAATTGCCCTTGTATTACGAATATACTCAGGTGCAGATTGTTTCAAAATATACTAAACATACTCCTTTGTTATGTAACTTGCAGCAACAGCTAACCTACAATCTCAGACTGAATACAAGGCTATAGTGAAGTAACAGAAGCCTCTGTGATCTGTTTCCTCCTATTTCTCCTTATGTGCAGAGCTGTCCTAATCCATTTATCCCTGGTCCATAACATACCCCAATTACTCTGGATCATAAAAAAATAATAATTGTCTCATTCCACTCTGGAAAGAAAAATATAGATAAGAGTAGTTTCCCTAACCCTGAATCCATGCGATTTATATGGGAGATATTTTGAACATCCCAAATGATCTACAGAAGTGAATACACATCCTTTTAATCATTTGACCTATGGGCATTTGTACATACTGTATATGACCTTTCAGCTCATTAGGACCTCATTAAAATTTTGCCCTGGAAAAATGGAGTTGTTAGGGTCTAAGCAAGTTAGACTATACTTCAGTAAGAACAAGTCTGCTCACTGGATCATTTACTAGATTATTATCAAGTTTGACGACATGCATTATACTTAACCTGGGATCTTTATTTAGGCTTTGTTAATATTTTGTCCCACTCCCTACCTTAACAAGTTCCTGCCTGCCAACACAATTTTGTTTTACGAGGGCTAAATAAAAGAGGCAGCTCTCTGAAGTCTCTTCTTCCAAGTTTGAGCACCCTGACCCTCAAGCACAGAAATACTGATATATATATTTTTACTTAAGGGGTTGTAGAAGACTGCTGATTGTGAAGAAAACTTTCGAATGCAGTTGATTAAAATATTCTTATGCATCCCGTGATGTTTTCATGAGGGCCTTCCATTAAAACTGTGCTATAAGACTGGAAGTTGGAAGTCCAACACCTGTAACATCCAATGAAGCTCTTCTGAGCATAGAAGGAATTGCAATGGTTAGGACGGCTCAGAAGACAGTCTCCAAGGGAAGGCAAGTGGATCCACAGACCTAAAACTTATGAAAGTCCTTTGTTCCTGCAGGGTAATGTAAAGCTGTTAGAATCCAGGGGGCTCAGAGATGGGTTGTTTCATGTTGATCCTTCTCTGTCACGCAGCCATGGGAAGTTCATAACTTTACTGGTTTTGCAAAAGGGAGTGGGACAAACCACAAGGAAAGATGCAAACAGCTTTCTCACACATTGAAAGCCTGGAGCTTGCCATTGTTTCCTGGCACCAAGTTTCCAGCCTAGATCTTGTCTGAAAAAGACCTGGGAACGCAATGTTCAGTCTCTGTGCCAGGACACCTTGGGGTTCCTGGAACTTATCAAGGCGATCCATAAAGAACAGATGAACTAGACTGCTTGCCATCTATGACACCCTTCTGTGCAGGTGTTTTCTGACAGCTCAGCTTCAACTCAGGTCTTGATGTAGACAGAGATGAAGAGATTACTCAGAATCCCATCCAGATTGAAATACTCCTCTTCAGCAGCCCACAAGAATGCTTAAAACTAAGGTGACCAACCGTCCTCCTTTAGGGAGGACAGTCCTCCTTTTGTAAGTTCTGTCCTCCCTCAAAAAGTGTCCTCCTTCATGTCCTCCTTTTCGATATTTGAAGACTAATCTGCAGGGCTTTTTTTTCCCCTCATAGAACGCTCAGAACGGCGTTCCGGCATCTTTTTTTGATGTTTTTTTTTTTCAACTTTTGCATGAGCTGTGCTACTCCCACTATTGGCTTTCGAAAGCCAATAGGAATTGCTGCTGAGCGTGCCAAAACACCCGGCTGGCAAACTTTGCACATGCAAGTTGTCTGTATTATTGTTGCAATGAATAAAATGTTTATTTTATTTACAATATTTCTTTCTTCAATTTATTTGTGTCCTCCTTTTCATTGTAAAAAAGTTGGTCACTTTATTAAAACCTACCAGATGGAAGGAAAGTCTCAGAGTTTTGGTTATGAGGAGGAGCACTGTTGGTGAAGGACACGGGTAGCAGCCTCAGGCATGCTTTATTTGTGCATCCTAGCCTCTTTCACGTAACTGTGATGCTAACGATGCAGATGCACTGAAAGGAACTGGCCCCTTTCTGATGGCTCTATAGCAGTACCCTAATGTGAGCACACCTGAGATCAGACAACCATGTGAATGAATGACCCTCCCTTGATGTAATGCAGGTAGCCAGCTTATGTTTTAACAATGTTTTTAACCAGTTACAGCCCTGAGGTTTTCCCTCTCCTCTCAAAAAGCATCCTATCTGGAGAATATAAATCTATCCAAATAGCCAGAGGTTTTTGAATATTGCTCAAAGTCATTTCTGCTGGATTAGATGGCTGCATACATTTGATAAATTAATGGATGATAGCTAGATAGCTAGATAGATAGCTAGATAGATAGCTAGATAGATAGATAGATAGATAGATAGATAGATATAAAGATAGATAGAAATATATGATAGATAGATATAAATATGACAGATAATGATAGAAAGAAAGAAAGAAAGAAAGAGAAAGAAAGAAAGAGAGACAGAGAGAAAGAAAGAAAGAAAGAAAGAAAGAAAGAAAGAAAGAAAGAAAGAAAGAAAGAAAGAAAGAAAATGTTTTTAATGGGTGTGTGTCCTTGCCAGTGCCTGGAGGAGCGGATACAGAGTAGACAGCCATTACAACTTTTTTTCTCCTGAACTGAACTGATGTCCAACTGGAATGTCACCACCATAGAAATAACCTCTAGAGCAAGAAAATCACAAGAAAGTCATCCAGATTCTTGACTGGATTGGAGTCATGGCCCTTCATCTTAGTTGACAGTACACACCCTGTTTCCCCACCTTTACAGAAAAATACTGGAACCAAAGAACTGTTTCCTATTATGGGGAAAGCCTTGGTTTCTAGGATTACATGGCAGGTGGGAATTATCAAGAGAACTGTACTGTGTGGAATTATGTCCAGCTCTTCAAATTACAACCACCACTGAATTCATAGCTGGAAATTTTCACTCGTGCTCACCTGTGTGGGTCCTCCGGTGAGCCTTCAAGTGGGAGCTTTTCGTGTAAACCTTATTGCATCCTTCAAAATCACACCTGTGGATGCGGCGCTTCCGGGAGTCCGGCGATTCAGACCGTCTCTGGCGTCTTGTGCTCTCAATGCTAAACGGTGAAATTGAACTGTGAAATAGAAGCAAAAGAGGAATTCAGGGTGTTGATTCCCTTCGCACAGATAAACCCCCAAGTGGCCTCAATGGCTCTCAGAGAGTGCTAATGACCAGATGACTGAAAAGAAATAGGATTCTTTCATCCCTCCCCACCATCCTGCCAGAACCGATGAGAATGTTTTCAAAGAAAAAAAATGAGAAAATCCAGTTGCCTTTTGAAAAAGCACCTTTGAGACAACCATGACTTAGATAACGGAGAATCTCCATAGATAACTTTGCTCTGAGATAGAAGTGAGTGTCAAGGATGAAACTTTGGCAGCTGTGCCTCTGTATTTCAACTTGCCTTTAGATTAGGGGGGGGGAGGTGTTACTTTCAAGTGGGTAGATGGAGAAAGGAAACTTCTTCAATTCAGCTGCAGACCATGAGAGCTTGAAGCCTTGTCAAGGACACCAGAACAGGTGTGGATTTGAAGCAGATGGTTCCCATAACAAAGTGGACTTGTTGATATGGATTATGTAACATGTTGGGGGTTTGGCTGGGAAAACTATTGTTTAAGTCTATGAGTTGGTGTTGGAACCTCAAAGCTAGTTTTTCTTCGACATAACCAAGATGTGTATTCAATAAATAGTAAGCTTTTTGGAAATGAAATGAACCTGGAGTTTTATTTGGATTCTTGAGCTGGATATTGGCCGTGAAACTGGTGACAAGAGACAGAAAGCTTATTCTTAAAAGAAGGAATACAAACCACAATATACTTTTCATTGACACTTCTTAACATTGTCACACTTTTCCTCAGCATATTTCTCTTTAATGACACAGATTCCTGAAACATAACACAGATTCCTGAAAGTTAGAATAATTAACCAGTGGAACAATCTGCCTCCAGAAGTGGTGAATGCTCCAACACTGGAAGTTTTTAAGAAGAGATTGGACAGCCATTTGTCCGAAATAGTATAGGGTTTCTTGCCTGAGCAGGGGGTTGGACTAGATGACCTCCAATGTACCTTCCAACTTTACTATTATTATTATTATTATTATTATTATTATTATTGTTGTTGTTGTTGTTAATAATAATAATAATAATAATAATAATAATAATAATAATAATAATAATAATAATAATAAAGTTGGAAGGGACCTTGGAGGTCATCAAGTCCAATCCTCTGCTCAGGCAGGTAACCCTATGCCATTTTGGACAAATGGCTGTCCAGTTTCTTCTTAAAAACGTCCAGTGTTAGAGCATTCACCGCTTCTGGAGGCAGGTTGTTCCACTGATTAATTGTTCTCACTGTCAGCAAGTTTCTCCTTAGTTCTAGGTTGCTTCTCTCCTTGGTTAGTTTCCATCCGTTGCTTCTTGTCCTGCCTTCAGGCACTTTGGAAAATAGCTTGACTCCCTCTTCTTTGGGACAGCCCCTGAGATATTGGAACACTGCTATCATATCCCCCCTCGTCCTTCTCTTCATTAAACTAGACATACCCAATTCTAGCAACCGTTCCTTATATGTTTTAGCCTCCAGTCCCCTAATCATCTGTGTTGCTCTTCTCTGTACTCTTTCTAGAGTCTCAACATCTTTTTTACATGGTGGTGACCAAAACTGGATGCAGTATTCCAAGTGTGGCCTTACCAAGGCATTGTAAAGTGGTATTAATACTTCACGTGTTAAGTGGTATTAATACTTCACGTGTTGTTGTTGTTGTTGTTATTGTTATTATTATTATTATACACACAACACCTCACTTCGAAAACCCTGTCCTGGTAGTCCTCAACTTATGATGACAACTGAGTCCAGAACTTCTGTTCCTAAGCCACACAGTTGTTAAGTGAATTTTGCCCCATTTTACGGCTTTCCTTGCCACAGTTGTTAAATGAATCACTGCAGTTAGTAATATAGTTGTGCAGTGAATCTGGCTTCCCCATTGACTTTTCTTGCCAGAAGGTTGCAAAAGAGGATCACCTGACCCTGGGACACTGCAACCGTCATAAATATGAGTCAGATGCCAAGAATCCTGAATTTTGATGCTGTGATCATGAGGATGCCGTGTGAAAAATGGTCGTAAATCACCTTTTTTCAGTGCCACTGTAACTTTGAACACTCGTTAAACGAATGTTGTAAGTCAAGGACTAGCTATCATTTTCTCTCAAGTTTCTGTCACCTTGGGGGATAATATTACTCAGTTCAGGGATGAACCTACACTTGTCTCTTGTCTCTGTATATATTCCTAATAACTATAAAAATACGAATCCCAGGCATATCTCTACAATGATAGAAAATCCTCAAACTCTGGGAAGGATATAAACCAGCTGTTTATTGTTAAAAAACTAAAACAATAAAAATAACTACCGTATTTTCTGGTGTATAAGACAACTTTCTTAAAGCGTGGAAATCGGTGCCAAAGTCGGGGGTCGTTTTATACGCCGAGTCGTCTTATATGCTGGAAATTATGGTAGTTTCCGACATATAAGACGACTTTCTAGGCATGGAAATCGGCGCCTAAGTCGAGGGTCGTCTTATACGCCGAGTTGTCTTATACGCCGGAAAATACGGTATTTACAATACTAAAAACAACCTAAGCTTTCGCTGGTCCACTGCCAGCGCCATCAGAGTTTATAAGAAAACTCCCCATCCCTCTGACACTTACTCTGATGATGATGGCAGTGGACTAGCAAAAGCTTAGGTTGTTTTTAGTATTGTATATAGTTGCTTTTATTGTTTTAGTTTTTTAACAATAAACAGCTGGTTTATATTCTTCCCAGAGTTTGAGGATAAATGTGGGCCCTGTGCATGAATTTAGATAAGATAAGATAACCTTTATTGTCATTTTTTTTTTACCGTGGGTACAATGGCACACATCAAAAATGAAATTTAGTTACCCGCTCTCAAAGTGAAACATATACATAACACACACCTAAACATACTATATGCAATGTATGTATAGACCTGGGATAGGCAACCTTGGCTCTTTTATGACTCATGGACTTCAACTCCCAGAATTCCTAAGCCGGCATGGCTCAGCATGGAAACCTCTCCATTTCTCCTCAGCATGGCTGGCTCAGGAATTCTGGGAATTGAAGTCCACGAGTCATAAAAGAGCCAAGGTTGCCTACCCCTGGTATAGACCCACACCCCTACATATACATAACAAATAAATATTAAATACTATCCATCTTGAATATATAACAGAAGGAGGAAGGTTGAGAGTTCACAAGGTTAATGCTGTATGGAATGAAACTATGGCTGAATCTGGATGTTCTGCTACGGATACCATGAAGCCTCCTCCCAGAAGGTAACAAGGAAAACAGGTCGCAAAGAGGATGTGTAGTGTCCCAGACAATCCTGCGGACCCTGCTCAAGCAACGCTTCTGTGCTATGTCCTGGATGGAAGGGAGGGAACTGCCAATGATCTTTTCGGCCATCCTCACCACTCTCTGCACTGCCTTCCTGTCTGAAGCAGGGATGCTTCCAAACCAGACTGAATGATGGGCACCCAATTAAAGACGGAGGGTGTGTTTCGTGGCCATTTTAATTAGGTGCAATGATTACAGCTAATCGTTCCAAGCTGAAGATCTCCATTCTTCCACTAGATGGAGAAAAAACCCTTCAGAAGAGTGGAAGCTTCTCTCCCTCTTTTAACTGAAGGCATTTCTTTTCCAGCCAAAGCTTTCTTTCTTTGTTTGTCTGGTGAAATCACCTGGATTTCACAGGGATTGGTCCCTGCAGGTGATACAAACAATGGCTTTAAGGCTTTAAAACCTGCCGTGTGTCTGAAGAGGAAAACAAATCTTAATATGTTGTGTGATTTCAATTTTTTGGGTGGGGGGGCAAGGTTGATGATAAGTAGAATATAATAAGGTCAGTCAGTTTTGGAGGAACAAAGAAATATGGTGTGTTGCCTACATGGCTTTTGTTTCATCACAAAGCAACTAAGGAACACGTAAAACTTTAACCAAAACTGAATTGTCGGTGGAATAATTCCATACTTGGTAATGCCAAAGTGCCTTTGTGGGACACATTTTCTATTGTACCAGAAAACAAATCCTTTAATTTGAATTATTGTCAAACAAGACTCTTCTACCATGTCAGACTCAAATCTGATATGAATACAGAGAATGTTAAGAAAAAGCAATGCAGACTACAAGGCAGAAAGACCATTTTCGCTAATAAAATGAAGCACAAACTCTAAAATGAAGTGTCTGCTGATATACGTGTAAGGATACAAAAACAGATTTTTGCCCTATAAAATCCAGATAACCACTAGACCAGGAGTCTTCAAACTTGGCCTGTCTATGACTTGTGGACTTCAATTCCCAGAATTCCTCAGCCAGGTACGCTGGCTGAGGAATTCTGGGATTTGAAGTGCAGAAGTCATAGAAGGGACAAGTTTGAAGACCCCTGCACTAGATAGAAAGAAAAAGGATGTTTTTCCTAACTGGGTTTTTCAAAACTGGTAGCCCAAGGAAGCAATCTTAAATTCTAAGCCCAGAGACTGATTGCGGGTTAGTCCAAAATTTGTTTTAGTGCCTTTTTTAGGCATTTTTTATAAGCTGGAGTAATAAGTAAACCTGGATGCGACTACATAAAGGCAGCCAAATAGCAATAGGCTAGCACTTTGACATCTTAAAGCAACCTGACTGGCTGTGTTGACATTTCATTATTCAGTAATCTATGATTCCACAGAGAAATCAAATGTACTTACATGTACTATTTGTAGAACTAGAAGAGAAAAAAATGCTAAAAGGAAATTTATCACTGCAATAAGGTCCTGGGCATTATATTCATCTAGCAAGATGTTCCCAGATTTTGACCTATGGAGTAATCTACACATCTGGTACAAATTTACAGTGATATATGTATCAAAATTGAAAAAAAAATAGCTAGATCTTTGGGCACAGTCTCCTATATCCAGTGTTATAAATTCTCCAAAGTAGGACTAGGCAATTTATTACAATTTCTGGTTTGCCGCTAAGATCATGGAATTGCAAAACCCCAAAGCTGGAGGCAGATCATTCATCTTTTCACCTGATTTCCTGCAGTGAAGC